GAATCTAATCAATATTTATATGTATAATTCAGCTATTATTTGGCTTAAAAGGGCTTGAGAAATGTTATCATTTTTTACTATTTTCTAGAGAAAATATTTTCCAGTTTCAAATAACCCTGGACTTTTGAATTATAACCTGTTTTTATGTTCAAGCTATCTGTGTATTATTTCTCCTGCAATTGTACATATAATGTTTTTACATTAAAAAAAGACAAATACTATAGAACTGTATTACATGAAATATATAGAATATACATATTCATAGAGACAGAAAGATTAGATGTAATCTCAAGATGGAGAAGAAAGGAATATAAAGCAATGATTTCCTAAGAACCGAGTTTCTGTTTTGTGTGATGGAAAAGCCCCACAAACGGACAGTAGTATCAGGACATAATATCATGAATGTAATAAATCAATACAATTAATGTAATTAATGAATATCATAAATATAATTATTAAACAAATACTGTGAATGTAATCATTGAATACCACAAATGTAATTAATGTTAGGAGTATAATTAATGACTATCATGAGTATAATTAATATCTTGAATGTAATTCATGACACTGAATTGTGAACTTAGAAATCGTTACAATTGGGGCTGGAGAGATGGCTCAGAGGTTAAGAGCACTGACTGCTTTTCCAGAGGTCCTGAGTTCAATTCCCACCAACCACATGGTGGCTCACAACCATCTGTAATGAGATCTGGTGCCCTCTTCTGACCTGCAGTCATACATGCTGTATACATAATAAATAAATAAATCTTTAAAAAAAAAAAAAAAGAAAAAAAGAAATGGTTACAATTGCAAATATTATGTTCATTTAAAAAAATAAGGTGGAATGTAATCACCATACATTATATGTGTGTATGAAATTGAAGACAGCGATGTTCTAAAATAGAAAGTGGTGATGGTTTCATGGACCTATGAGGATGCAGGACTAAAGTCTTATCAAATTGCACAAACAGGCAAACTGTATACTATGTGAATTATTTGTCAATAAAGATTTTATAAAACGTTTAAAAATGCATACATGTATATAAATTAATCTTTAAAACCATTTTAAAAGAGTTCTTTTTGTCAAAGAGACAGACTGTACATGTCCACTCATTAGGGTAACAAGCAGAGCTCCAGCTTCAGAGGAATCATACTAAGTCAGTCAGTTGCTTGTCACTGATCCTGATGGCACATTTCTGTAATTTCAGCAATCTAGCAGTGAGGCAGGATAATCAAGAGTCCAAAGTCAACCTCATCTACATATTGCACTGAAGGCCAGTCTGGGCTATATGAAACCTTATCTCAAAAACAAACAACCTCCCCCAAATGTCCTTTATCACTCTAAAGGCTATACATTATTACCCATAGTTGTATCTTCCTATGCTGCAGAATAGAGAAAATCTTCATGTTTGATTAATTAAAGCAATGTTTTAATTGGTCAAAGCGGTACTCAGAGCCTAAAAGATCTTTTGTTTCTTTATTCTAAGCTCCCTCCCTCTTTAGGTTTTGTTTTGGTCCCAAGATTGAATCCAGAACCTTGTTCACGAGTGCTCGACCACTGGGCTATATTCCTCAGCTCCCTTTAGGATGTTTCAGGTGTTTGGTTCCCTATTCTGTTTGTTAATCTAAAAGACACAAAGTCTAAAAGTCATAAAATTAGGCCATTATAACCTTGATGGCTTCTGTTTATAAATTAATAAATTTCCAAAAGTTCAGCAGACTAGATCTCAATTTATAAGTACAGTTTCAAAAGCAAGTTTAACACCAAACAAACAAAAACCTTATGCCATCTGTACTTTAAGTGCCCTGACTTCAATTTCCCTTTTTTTAACAACTTAAACTGAGAAAGATATGTTCCTTTTTCTCCTACCTCTGCCTCCTTAGTGCTGGAATTACAGGTTTGTGCCACCATTGGCAAATAAAATATTAAGTCTCTATAAACTTTAAAGTACTTCCTAAAGGATAACTTCCAATATCTGAAATACAATTATCATTGTATTTAAAACAATGTTGAGTCAGGTGTGGTGGCTTACATCTTTAATCCCAGCACTTGAGAGGCAGAGGCAGGTAGAGGTCAGTGAGTTCCAGGGCAGCCAGAGCAAATAGTGAGACCTTGTCTCAAAACAAAACAAACAAAAAACAAAACAGAGTTATCAGTTTGATTTGTACTTGCTAGTAATTCAATAAGAATCAATGTGACAGACTCACTTTGAACACCAGTCACGGTGGCACACACCTCTTATCTTAGTACATGAAAACTGGAACAGGAGGATCATGAGTTCATGGCCAGCTCTAGGCCAGGTTACAGAGTAGGACCCTGTCCTCAAGCCCATACTCTAAAATTATACAACACATTCATTGTCCCCTTTCGAGTACTGGGTACTGAATTCAAGGCCTCCCGAATGCTTGGGAAGTGCTATACTTAGCACCATCCACAGCCCTGTCACTTCACCGGGACAGGGACCTAAGTTATCCAGACCAGTTTTGAAACGTGACCTTCTGTTTCAGTCTTTTGAGCAGTTGGGAATACAAGTATGCATCACTGGGAACAGCCAGTATATACTTTAAAAGGAGCAGAGCATAGGCTTTCAAAATTCAAAACATATGTCTGTTTCTTTTAAATGTTTCCAGAATGAAAATATAAAGTTGTAGGGAATATTCATGTTTAGTTCAGTATTGACTTCATTTATTTGTTTATACCAACCTATTACCTACAGAAAATTGTCACTTACATTTAAGTGTCATACATTAAACATGTAAGAAATTATAATTTTTTTTTTTCGAGACAGGGTTTCACTGTGTAGTTTTGTGCCTTTCCTGGAACTCACTTGGTAGCCCAGGCTAGCCTCAAACTCACAGAGATCCGCCTGCCTCTGCCTTTCGAGTGCTGGGATTAAAGGTGTGCGCCACCACCGCCGGGCAAGAAATTATAATATTTTTAAGGGACAAGTAATTAAATTTTTTTTAGCTTTATTAAATTAGACTGGGATATTATTCTATTTCGCTATACCAATACTGCAAGTCTAAGGGAAAAAAAATTTCCTTTTTCCTAAGACAAAAGATCTATTGAAGACATTCTCAAAAATTCTAGATGGGAGGCTGGAGAGATGGCTTAGTGGTTTAGGGCAGTATGTGCAATTAAAAAAGTCCTGGGTTCAGTTCCTAACACCCACATTGGGCAGCTTACAACCACCTATAATTCTGGTTCCAGGGAATTAAATACACCCTCTTCTTATCTGAGGGGACCTGCATTAATGTGCACATATCCACGTACAAGTATACATAACTTATCAAAAAAAATCTTTATCAAAACTCTAGAAAAATTAAGCACTTCTAACTATAAGGGAACGTGAAATATTAAATAGTCTCTTGAGTTTAAAATTTTCACTACAAAATATCAATGTTTACCTGGATTCTAGCTGTTGTTTTACAAATTAACTATTGTTGTTGTAGTATATGTGTATGTGAGCATGGGCACACATGCCAAAGCATGTACATGGATGTCTGCTTTCAGGGGTTAAGTTTTCCCTTCTATTATATGTTCCAGAGATCAAACTCAGGTTGTCAGGCTTGGGTAGCAAGAGTTTTACTTTCTGAGTCATCTTGCTGACCTAAACCTAACCTTTTTCTTTTTTTTTTTTTAAATTATTTTATTATTTTGTGCATATTGGTGTTTCTGTCAGAATGTATGTCTGTGTACCATAATCAAGCAGTGCTCCTGGAGAACAGAAGTGGGCATCATATTCACTAGAACCAGATTACAGTTTGTGAGCAGCCATGTGGGTGCTCAGGATTGAACTCTGGTCCTCTGGAAGAATAGCCTGTGCTCTCAACTTCTGAGCATCTCTCCAACCCCTAACCCTAGCTTCTTAAACTGTGAGTCACAAGCGGATCTTGGGTAGCACAACTGAATATGGAATTTGGCAACAGTGAAAGGTTTCTAAATACAAAATGAAAAAAAAAATTCAAAATCACTTAATGAATCCAGTATTTCTAGTAGTACTAGACTGTGTTATACTGTATGACTTCATTGTAGCCTTAACTTTGAACACACAACATCTTCACATTACACTGGACATGTAATGCAACACATAACACAAAATAATGTTGTTTGAAGCACCTCAGCTCAGACTCTAGACAATTGTGCGTTATGAGCTGCAATGCTTTTACTATAACTATTTTTTTCTCTTAAAGAAACAATGGTTTAATCATGGAAAACAGAGTTTTAATGTTTTCCTATGGTCATTCCTTAAGTGTAAGCATCAAATTAGTATATAATTGAATTGTATTGTGCTATAATGTATAATTTTAAAAATTGTTGTTTGCACCAGGCATAGTTGCACCACGACCGCCTGGCAGCACACACTTTTAATCCCAGCACTTGGGAGGCAGAGGCAGGCGGGTTTCTATGAATTCAAGGCCAGACTGATCTACAAAGAGAGTTCCAGGACAGCTGGGGCTGTTACAAAGAGAAACCATGTCTTAAAAAAACAAAACAAAACATTGTTGTTTGAAGAGGCTAGAGAGATGGCTTAGTCAGTAGAGTGCTTGCCACATAAACAATGAGGACCGAGTTCAATCTCCAGCACCCAGGTAAATCAGGCACAGCATATGCCTGTACCCTTAGCACTGGGGAGGAGGATCCCTGGGATCAGCAAGCTTCAGGTCCAGTGAGAGATCCTGTCTCTCCAGAGTGAAGGAAAGCACTGGGAAGGCTCAGCAGGTAAAAGGCACTTGCTGCCAGGCCCAACAACCTGAGTTCAATGCCTAAAACCCACACGGTAGGAGAGAGCTGACACCTAAGAGTTATCTCATCACCACACTAGTGCTATGCACATTTGTCTCCTCACTTCCCACTAAAGAAATCAGTATTAAAAAATAAAAAAGTCTGGGAACTGGAAACAGCTCAGTGGTTAAGTGCACATTAACACTCTTGGCAGAGAACTCAAGTTCCATTCCCAGCATTCTCATCGGGCAGCTCACAATTGCCTGTTAACTCCAGTTCCAGGAGGATCCAACACCTCTGGTCTCCATGGGCATTTGCACACACATGTGCACCCCCCCCCATAGACATAATTTTAAAAAAAAATCTTAAAAAAAATTGAAAATCTAAAAAACAAATAAGGTGCAACGTGACTGAGAAAGGGACCTAAGGTTTACCTCTGGACTGCACATATAATTACACACAACATGTACATACACCAGCACACATTTGTGCACATACACACATAATATATAAAATACTTCCTCAAGTGAAAGAGGAGTCGAGAGGAGAAAATTTTAAGATGTACCGATATACATCATCATAGAAGCTGAAAGCAAAAGCTGATTAATGGCCGTGTCGGAAATCTCAGCACTTCTGAGGTAAGAGAACTGATATAAGCCTGAGGCCGCCCTGGCCTATTTTAGTGAGTTCCAGGCCAGCCTGGGGAAAGAGTATGGATGGCCTTAATGTAAGAGAGAAAAAGAAAAGGAGGGGGCAGGGGTAAAGGGAGAGAATGGTGGTTAACCAAGGCTGGAGAGAGTAAGAAGGAAGGATGGGAAAGGCTGATCAATGGATACTGAATAACAAATAAATTCTGGTATGATAATGTATACCAGGGAGACTGATGTACATATAACTATGTACTATATATTTTTGAAAATCTCAATGAAAGGATTCAAAATGTTTTCACCATAAAGAAATGGTGAATGTTGAGACAAATGTTATATTTGACAAGATCTAATTATACAATATACATGTGTATAAAAACATTAATTTGTCTACTTTTTAATGTTTTTAATCTATCATTTAAAATAATTTATTTGAATTAAGAAGCTATTTACCCAGGTCGTTTTTTAAGCTGATTTCAGAAGGAGGTTCTGAATCCATTGGCACGTTAATTAACGTATAGCACACGTTCTCGGCTGCTGTCATGGTTTCTGTTTATAATCAACACAATACAAGATGAAAATGACGAAAGGAGCCAGGAAAAGCTACAAAAAATGAATACAGGTATCAATTAGAAAAAAAAAAAAAAAAGGTAAATTTCGCAAATCACTCCTGATCTTTATGCTGCCTTCAGATCTTTCCGTGTCGCTTCTGAGGATGTCGATCTCGAGTGTTTCCCCACTTCCATGAACTCTAGGGACAACCACACCGTGCTGGTCCGCTCCCCGGCCCAGGGTGTGGAAAGCTGTGGAGTCGAGGTCCACACAACAGTGACAACCCTGAGCACCACGTCACCGGGCAGTGATTTCCAACACAACACAGCCGGATCTGCTCCAGGAGGGCAGCCCGCGAGCGAAGACGCTGCAGAACCTTGGACTCCTCTGCCGTGGCGGGTCCCCCGTGGGTGCGCCCCAGCCGCCCCTTCCCGGCCTCCGTCCACGCACGGCCAGGCCTCAGGCTGCGCAGACCCCGGTTCCACAGCCCCGGGGCCGCGGCCCAGCTCCCCGCCCCCACCGCCTGGCGCTGCGGCCTAGCCAAGCGCCCGGCGTCTCCCCGTCCGGTGGTTCGCCGACCCCGCGCGACCGGCGCAAACCCGTGGCTCGGGGCTCAGGCCGCTACCTGGCTCCAAGGGGCGACGGCCGGGAAGGAACCGCGGAACCGTGAACCACAGCTCCAGCCAGCGGCTGCCTAGACGGATCCACCTAGTCCTTGGCTGACGTGGAAGGGGGCGGGGAGTCGAGCCAGGATGCAGCCGCAGATCCTGTACGGCGACCCAGGCAGGACAAGCTTTCTTCGTCCTGCGGCTGCGCGCTGTAAGTACATCCTCTTCCTTTCTCAGGGTTGGTTTCTGCAACAGAGTGAGCAAGTATTTAAGTTTTCCCCGTGAGTAGGCCCTGACTTAAGCGCTGTGGTCACTGAACAGTTCCCAGGAACTAAAACTTGTACAAAAGATCAACAGAAAAGTCCAGCGGACTCTCTTATTACTCTCATTTATAATAAATTGGGAAATTAACTGATTATTAAGCCGATGATTTTAGATATTTTAATAAGTCAACTTGGTTATATGAAGATACACTTGAGGGCTTAACACCTCTGGTGATCTGAATCTGACTTTATTCAGTTGACCTGGAGTTACATGAATATCAGAAGTTGTCTGGCAACTATTATTTCTACTCTTTATTCAAGAACGGCCTTTCACGATCCTTTCAGAGCACCCAATAGTTTAAAAGTTTGTATGCATAAAGGAGACAGTCTCAAAAGATTTTACCTTGTTTCCAACTTACAGCTATGATTAGATGTATAGTTCTTGTTCATTTGTGATTCCATATCCCATGCCAATGTCCTAGTCAATTATTAATAACAAAATATTTGAAAACTTCAGCAGGGTCTTCCAAAATTGCCAGACTGGTCTTGAAAAGAGGGTTTTCAGTTTCTGAGCAGTTGTAATTACAGGTGTGTACCACATGGATGCATATTGTGTATACAAGGTCTGATAGGACCTGTTTTTTGACCTGTTCACCTCACTTGGGAACACAGAATACAAATAGTATCTCATCACCTGGAATGCAGCTATTCTGACATTTCTCTTTTCTGGAAACATTAAATTAAAAAAAATTCCCCCAGGACTCAAAATATACCAGAGGACTGTATGTTTCCAACACTTTAAGGGTGACCTCTCTGATGGCATTTTTTTTTTTTTTAATTTTAGATGGTTTTACTATATAAGCCCAGCCTGACCTTCTCCATCTTACTGCTCTCTTGCCTCAGCCTCCCAAGTGCTAGGATTACAGGCACTTGGCATGACACCTGGCCTGTGTGTTTTTTAAAAAAAGTTTTAAATCGGGGCTGGAGAGATTGCTCAGCGGTTAAGAGCACTAGCTGTTCTTCCAGAGGTCCAGAGTTCAATTCCCAGCAACTGCAAGGTGGCTCACAACATACATGCAGACAAAGGGCATAATGCAGACAAAGCACTTGTAAATAAATGTCACTAAATGCTTTTAATCTAGGTAATTGTAGAATAAAATTCTTCTGGCAAGCCCTATAGTTCCTTTCCCTAGTTCCTCTGAATAGTGAAGTCTTGGAGGAAACTGACCTGTCTCCTTATGGAGATTTGACCAGTTTAGATATTCTCATTTATGTACTTGCTTCTAGACAGTCAAGACAGAGAACAGTCCTACCAGAGACCCTCCTGCTGTCCATCCACTGTCACAGCCATATACCCACCTTAACCCTGGCAACTATCTATCCATTCCAGTCTATAAATAGAATCATACAATGGAGTCTTGAAGATTAGCTTTCTTCTACTCAGCATAATTCTCTAGAATGAGATGTATTCAAGAACGTTCCTTTTGTGTACTCATTTTTTCACATGGAATGCAGTTATTAGTTTTCCAAATTCACTTGAAATTACACCAAACAAGGTATAGAGATTAGGTTTAGGAATTAGAAGGCTCAGCAGTTTAGGACCATCTTGGTGTAGTCTAACCATGCCCGTGCATCATGTTAAACTTTAGAGTTCTTTATGACTGATTCACTAAGGAAACTTAGAAGTATGACAAGATAGCATTTTAGGTCTGCACCTGAACTTGCCACTGGTAATGTGCATGGTTTTGCTTTTTAAAACTTGGAGCTTCTTGAGCAGATATCAAGACCTTATATAACTTCACTAATTTTTTTTTTTTTTTTTTTTTTCCTGAGACAGGGTTTTTCTGTGAAACAGCCCTGGCTGTCGTGGAACTCACTCTGTAGCCCAGGCTGGCCTTGAACTCACAGAGATCTGCCTGGGTCTGCCTCCCGAGTGCTGGGATTAAAGGTGTGCGCCATCACTGCCTGGCACTAATTTTAATAAAATATATTTTCGAGACTTTTAACCCTAGAATGTCATCATATCATTTTGAATGTTCTTCAAATCACAAATTATTTCAATGTAAAAATTTGGGTATCAGAATTATAAAAGTATACAATTGAGCACACTAAGGACTAGAGACTTGCTCCAAACTGCTTAATGGTCAACACTAAGAGTTTAGAACATGAGTTTGTTTGTTTGTTTTGGAGACAGGGTTTCTCTGTGTAGTTTTGGTGCCCGTCCTGGATCTCGCTCTGTAGACCAGGCTGGCCTCGAACTCACAGAGATCTGCCTGGCTCTGCCTCCCAAGTGCTGGGATTAAAGGTGTGCGCCACCACTGTCCGGCAGAACACGAGTTCTGACATCTATTTTTCGGCTCTTTATTTTTGACAGTGCCAGTTCTTCAGAACTGCACCTCAAGATGCTCAGATTCCAGATGACATCATCTTTGTGTCAGTGGGAAGACTTACATGACACTAGCAATCTAACTGTTCAGTTATTCAGCAGATTAAATGGAGTAACTGAGCGCAACAGACTAAACATAAAAGGACATCACAACAAACTGTAAGGTCCCTAAAGTGGTAAACTTTTGTGTGGGAGGTACAACACCTGTACATATTAGTGGGAGGCCGGAGGAGCATAAGCATTCTGCTCTATCATCCTGATTTACTCCCCAAAGCCAGGGGGGTCTCATTGAACCTGGAGATAGACTAGCAGCCAGTAAGCAGCAGCCAGCCTTGCATCTTGTAGTGCTGGAGTTAATGGTGTAATTCATGCTGGCACAGCATGTGGCTCTTAATGAATTTGTTTTTTCTATTTCCAAAGTGGGGAGAATTTTGAAAATCAGTCTTTAGACTATAACCGTATACACACTAGGGGAAAAAACAAAAAACCCAACCTATTTGCCAGAGTCCAGCTCTAGCAGGGTTCACGTCCCAAAGATGAGGTGTGGAGTCAAGTCAGTGAGGGGAAGGAGGAGACTGACATAATCTGAGGGTGAATCGTGATGGCTGCCACTTTACTGAAAGAAAAGGCCACACTTTTATACTCTCTAATTGCACAAGGATTAAATGGGAGAAAGGGGGCATGTGAGCTGGGGTGTGGCTTATGATCAGTGATTGAGGAAACATGACCTTCACAAGTTAATAGGCACCACAGTCATATGGAAGGGCCACAAGTTCTCTTGCCAGAGACAAGAATGTCTCCATTTTTAGCAAGCAGAAACTTCTTCAAGCCTGTGAGGGCATAGGGGCTTTTGTCTAAATGCTTGATCTTGGGAAAAGGACTTTCTTGGGGTACCAGACCATTATTGAACACTGCATTTTTTTAAAAAAAAATATGGCTTAGTTTATCCAAATAGCTAAAGCTTAACATAAGCAAAGATGAAGCTAGACAAGTATTACTGTGAATCTGAGTAGACCTTAGGAATTTATAAATCTTGATTGTTAAATATACCTTATTTATCAAACATATCTAAATTTTTCTAGCAGCTTGGTATTGACTTGTGTGGGAGTAGGCAGTTATCACACTATATGGTTTCACAGTAGCCAGTACCTAGGGTAGGCTTTCGGACAAAAGGAGAGCACCAGGAAGGTGAGGTTGTGAGCCAGAAGCAGAGGAAGCAGATGAACATGCCATGCTGAAAAAAGGTACCACCACATGGTAGAGCGTAGAGAAGAAATATGGGTTAATTTAAGATGTAAGAGCTGGTTAGGAGCTAGTATCTAGTTAGTTTAATAGTAAACCTAAGCTCTTGGCTGAGCTTTTATAATAAGTTTGTGTGGTTATTTGGGAGCTGGCTGGTGGGACAGAAAAATCCCGCCTACACATCCTTATGCTCCACTGAAGCCCACAGGAAAGGTGAGAATCATTAAAAGTGAAAGTAAAGGGTGCTGGAGAATTGTGATCCACAGTCAAAATGCTGGAACTTTGTTAAGCAGCAATTGATGCTATGTGGTCCATACCACCTAGTAAAACTATCCTTAGAATTAAATTCAATGTAAAACACTGTCACTTTTTAATCTTTAGTTGAGTTTTAGCCAAGTAATAGTTTGTATTTAGGAAACAGATTTAAAAAAAAAAAAAAAGCACACGACTTTTATCTTTTAACAACAGATCCACTCAGCACGGGGGAAGAAATACAAGTTATTAATTTTAGCCTCCCTCTCTAGACCATGCACTAAAGTCCAGGAAGTTAGGAACTTCGTAGTTTTAGTGTTTCGTATGTGCTTGATGCAACTCCACAGCAGTTTGCCACATGGTACTTGTGGCCAGTTCCCAAACTTAAATGACAGGTCTCTGAGGTTATTTCCAGTGCAGAGACTGACATTACCTACACACAAATAATCAGAGATAATAACAAAGCTATTAGGGTGTGTGTGTGTGTTTTGTTTTCTTTCCAGTCTTCCTTCAAGAAGATATAGAGAGATCCAAGCAACTGAGTTGTTTTTTGTTTTCTTTTTTGTTTTTGGAGACAGGGTTTCTCTATGTAACAGCTCAAGCTATCCTGGAACTCACTCTGTAGACCAGGCTAGCCTCAAACACAGAGATTCATTTGCCTCTGCCTCCCAAGTGCTGGGACTAAAGGCATGCACCACAATGCTTGGCCACAAATTCTTTTAACTATAGTATTTCTTGAAAGGGCCTCTCTAAACCAGGACTGAGTGATTTGTCTAAAGAGAAAATTCACTGGTTAGGACTTAGGTCTAAACTCTGGGTTACCATCCACAGAGAAGCCTTCTCCAGAAAGGGGTGCTACACTGGGAATCGCTCCTCCAACCTTACCAACACTGTAATACTGTCTGCAGTTGAAACTACTTACAAACAGAAACTTGATACAACAGGAGGTGAAACAATTTTATTTCACAGTTGTCTTTAAAACTGCAAAGACACTATTTTCTTCATATAAAAACATTGGTATAGATACCTATACTTTCTAGAAAATGATTATGTAGACCCTTTCAAAGAAAATGCACCCATTATATGGTTTTGGTGAAGTTGCTTGGAGAAAACTCACATCTGGACTGATTCCTAAAACATACCACCCCATACTCTGCAGCTGTTGGTTTTAAGTACAGATTATTGTCACCAGTGTATGTCTCTGCATCCTCATATCTTTGTATCCTTTATCACTTAATGTTCCATTGGTTCATCAGCTTTTTCTGCAGGTTC